GGCTCTACTTCTACTGGTTTAAGAAGGCTGCTACCATGTGTTCATTTTCTCATGGAAATTAGTATTATTTATAATATATAACACAAGAAAGAATATATCAAAGGCCAGAATCTGACATAAATAAGCAGATAGTACATTATGATGGATGTGGGAGCAGTCACAGAGATTTCAAGCTAGATTTTTTTTATTTTTTTTACTCCATTAACCCATTGGTTGTGGAATCATGTACTATCTCCTATATCTTTCAGTGACTTTTGTTACACATAGATGGTTTCACAAGTTATCAGCTTCCACGGAGTCAATTAGGAGGCCCTTGTGACCACCAAATTTCCCCATTCCTTGAATTTGTCTTTTTCTCTAATGTTATTATTATTACTGACATTATGATTCTTATAAAGTTATTTAAATACTAATAACAATAAAATAATAAAACAATAAAGAAAAATCTTTCCATGACTAAGCACTTGTGGAGCCATCTCTTTGTAAAAAAAAAAAAAAAAAACTAAAATTACAGTAAACATGGATTGTATTTTCTATAATATTTATCAAAGGGGATAATCCACAGCTAGTTTTTGAAAACCGTAGAGAGGAAAAAAATAATAATGAAAAAGTCTGTAGAATTTAAAACCTGTAAGGCATTCTAAGAATTAGTTTGCATTGCAGCTATATATACTCATATAAATATATTCATTTATTTAGTTTTCTATCTATATTTCAAGTATGGACATCACACAATATTCCAGCTGTCACAAGAATGCTTTGAACACAAGCAATATGAAATATATATAATTTAACCTTAGTTATTATGACCCAAAAGCAGTATCACAGTACTTTCACACACATTAGTGTACACCTTTAGAATGTTGGTGGAACCTCTACACTAGCCCCCCTAGTGTCGACAGAATTAGTCTATGTATGTATATCATCTTGTAGGCTTAAAGAACCTTTTTTATATCAATTTTTTTTTATATCATCTTTGTGATTAAAAAAAAATGGATATAAAAAAGGTTCTTTAAGCCTACAAGTTTACTTAATCATCTTAAAATTATCTATTTTTTCTATGACACAAGCATAAGTATGTCAGTAAACAAACATTACCTGGAGAGAAAAATGCCAAATAGAGTCCTAGACCCAGAATGGAGATCCAAGCATACTGATAAGGACACCAGTCATATGCAAAGACTGCAAAATCATCTTCTAGGATGGTCTTATTGGCACAAACTCCAGAGACACTCATCTGTTTGGACAAATATACCTCAATGTATTAAAGAACATAAGATTTGAATAAAATTGGAATATATCATTTACTTGTGGCTACAAATATTGGATATGTATGGAAAACCTATCAGGCATCAACAATATATATACAAATATACTGATAGATAGATAGATAGATAGATAGATAGATAGATAGATAGATAGATAGATAGATAGATAGATAGATAGATAGATAGATAGATAGACAGACAGACAGACAGACAGACAGACAGACAGACAGACAGACAGACAAGACAGAGACAGACAGACACAGACAGACAGACAAACAGAGAAATAGACAGATAGATACATACATAAATACATAATATACCTCATTAAACGCTGAATGATCTGCTGCTACACAAGAGGAGTTTGTTATGTTACTAACTTCACCAATGAAGCAAAAGCCACACTCAGACCTGCTTGTGCAAACTCCACAACTGCAAATAGATAAATTTACAATGTGCTTAGGAGGCAACACATTAATGTAGTTCACAAACTTTTTCATGATGAAATAACATCACTGTAAAACCATATATGAATAAACAAAGCAGTAAAATATATCAAAACATGCAATGAATAAGACAGAAATACAAATAGGGAATAACAAGAACTAAGTGTCCACACACACAACACACACACACACAACACATGACACACCCACACTATTCATGTCATCTACACTATTCACATGGTTTGCACACACACACCCACACTAGACATCAGTTACACAGTCACACTAGCACACATCTACACACACACGGTACACACACACACACTACACACATAGCAGGCGACACTATACACACACACACGGGACTACACCACAACACACAACATCAGACATCACCACTACATTAGTCACACACATTTTGTGGTGGGGTCAGGGGTTCACACGATCACACTATCTATCATCTTGTATCTCGTATTTCATCACTACACTACCACTATTATTACACACATATACAACATATCATCACACTTATCACTTACTACTACACTTACACACACACTAGCTACATGCTTACATCTCACTGTGACAGTGCTGACACTTAAGAGTCGTGATCATGCACGTCGAGCACATGTCACACAGGCACCGACTCCTACAGCACAGGCAACACATCACCACAGCTGTCTCACACTAAACACACACACACGAGAGGTAATAAGTGCTGGGTGGGTGGCATGATTGTACTTTGGCAAAAAGACAAGGAATAGTGTAACGATTGTTCGATACATATGG